AAGCCCATTGCCCCGAAATCATCGCACACTTACGTATTGTATGTACCTAGGCCCGCATGAATAGTTATGAAGAGAAGTTCCCGAATGTGAATCACTCATAACAATCACAAAGCTAGGGGCAAAATAATTTACGCTACACTGCATTTCGATTATTTCTTTTTTCAATCTGGAAGCACCTCAACCACCAACCCGCTGCCGAACTACTGCGGTCGCCGATCAAACTGCCCGACATTCGCCAATACGAGCTTTAAATTGCACACCGGCCACATCATTTGCAAGGATGTGACATAAATGACATGGAAATAACTGCCTGCAAACGTGAATATAACACGATAAGGTCGCCGGGGTCCGGGCGCGGGCCATTAACACTTGGGCCACCCAGCGGGCCGGGCGCAATTATCGGTAATTGTGCGACAGTGGGCACTGGAAGCACCCTTTACTCACCGCGGCTCTAAATTCAATGCCCGGCGCCGCAGCGGGGGCAGTTTATTCAACAAAGTATAGTGTTGTGGTAAGGAATGGTGTGTAACAGCGCGCGGTACCACAAACGAGCTCCGGTGCCGGTCGGGGGCGCAGCCACTGGCCACCAACTACTGGGCACGCGTGGCCAACAGCCTGCGATAGGTGACGGGAGCGACGCATGGCATGAAAAGTGTGTTATGCACGCATAGTTTTAAGCCCTTTGAAGAAACGATCACTGATCATTCTTGTTGATCCCATCACAGTTGAATAAATCAATGAGTGTGCATTAATCTGTTTGTAAATCATAACACAAGAACGAAGAAAGTATGTAAGCGAAGGAACGAATCAAGCGTACAGTTTCCTTCGTGATCGTAGATAAACGTATGGCTTTGTCATCACAAGTTCAAGGCAACAGCTGCGGCCGACGCTTAAATTATCTGACAAATCATATCAGCTCTTCCCGCGGTCTAGAGGTCTGCGAGCCTCAGGGGCCCGGGGTCTGAAATAAAGAGGTCCTACACCGTGACGAACAGGGCACTCGTGACCTCAGCGGGCACCCACGAGCCCCGGCCGTGAGTGGGCCTGATTCGTGACTCCCTGGTTACCGGGACCGGGGGCTGACACCGTCACACCAAACCGCTCCTGACCGAAGACGTGTTGAACGTGACGCTTTTAAGTCCGTATCCGAAATGTGATCACTGATCGTGCTTAAGCACGGGTGTTCAACACAACATTGTATACGTTGGACAATAGGTTTGCTAATTGTTTATCTCGACAAAGGAAAGTGTCATATTCGGGCCATGTAGCTCGAGTGTCAAACAATGCGTAAAGTAGATGTTAAGAGTGGCTTTTATGAAACTGGCATTGTGTCATAGAGTTGCAATTTGTTTATGACAGACCACCAGCGCAAAAGGCCTTTAGCTCCGTTGCTTGCCATGTAAATCGTGCCGAAATTCGCGTTTCATTGAAACGTGGATGCATAGGGCCTGAACACGGATCACTCAAGCAGTGTTTTAAGCTGCTGTCATTTCGTGCATACCAAAAACAGATGCAGTGATTCAATAGCAAGTCCTAAGAGAAGCCAAGCCACATCGCTATAGAAATCTTTATTTAGGAGCAGTACGATGCAGAATTCGTCACTTTGTAACAACAGCCCTACACAAAGGCCACCGTCAAATAGGCAGTCTCATCCTTCCTCGTCTACAGCAAAACCTTATGACAACACAGAGTGTGTTTTTCTTGCCCATCACTCAGCAAGATAGCTAGCCAACTGCAAATACAGCACCACCGCGTGGCACGTGCCTCGGGCAGCTGAGTGGGCCGGCAGACAGCGAGACCTGTTTGTGTGAGGTTCAGGAATCCAAACACTTCCCGCTGTCAGCGTGTCAGAAGTAAGACCTTCGAGTCGCGCTCGAGACAGACCCAAACAGAGCCGAGAGACGTTGAAGCACGTGTAAAACAGGATTTGCATGCTGAAGTTTTATCTGCAGCTGCGTGATACTATGATGTGTTTGATATTCGCAGAGTATCTGTCGATACCTACTTGAATGATTTTTTTTTATAAAATACTTATCAATACGGGCAGCCCTTATAGGCACTGAGAGGAATAAAGAAAAATGGAACGGGTTCAACGCAAAACTCATTATCGAGACGGATTTGTTACCGTCATTTGCATGACTTGTACTTTACAAACCACATGGATAATGTGCATACCGCATATTTGCAGCGGTGATGGTGAAAATTTACTGGCATACCAGTAGCTCAGTAATGATATATGGCAAATTTACTCCGAATGTTCCGGGTCACAGCTTCACGCCTACCAAACTCACCACGGACAACGGTTCCATTCGTAAAACACCTCAAATAGCTACTGTTCAACGACTACATTTTATTTCAAATGACCTGCCAGAGTACCTTTTCATCCCGGGAATGCCTTCCTCGCCACTTACAGCGGCTGTGGGCCGCGGGTGGCCGGTCAAATGAGAGGGTTCACCGGCGTAACATGTAGCGGCGGCGCCGGGCGGGCGCCGCCCTCCCACTCGACCGGCTACGGTTGCGCTATTGACAGACGCGTCGGCGAGCCGGCACATCCATCACGGCCGGGTGCGCTAATCGTGGGACGGCCGGCCGGCACTCACGACCCGCGACACGGCATTAGGGCGCCGTTTGTGGCCGCTGCCCGGCGGCGGCTTGTTAGCGGACCGTGAGCAGAGCCCGGGTGGGTCGTTAGAGGCCACAGGGTGTGACATCCGGGTGGCAGGACACGGCCCCAGCGGCGGACAGTGCACGTCATGCGGGCGAAACGGGACACTGGCGGTGATGGCTAATTTGACTCCGATGTATTATTTGTGTCGCGCGGATCGTGTTATTTGCTTACAACTTGTAGGGCCGGGATAAGGAATGCCTGTTTTTTAGGGTCATTGAGTAATGAGTTTAAATCAAAAGCAATAAACAAGTTGGAAATATATTGGTGCGCTAGAAGGTAACGGTTACAAGTTGTCGTGTAACTGCAGGTTGTTGAAATAAACAAACACTATTCGTTTGGTATTGGTTTTACGTACTGCTCAACTTCCGGGAGACATGTCATTCTTTATTTTTTACCTAATTAAATTGTCTGCAGCTGAAATAATCGCGTTTGAGGTTAGGCTATCTCGACTCAGCCACTCAGAGATAAGGATTAACTTGTCAACTGTCCTTGAAGCCACCTAAACGTTGTCATTGTCGTGTCTTGGAAACAAGAAAGGAGAGGTTGTGTTGATGCGCACTTCTTCGATTGAGCTGGTCTCATGCTTTGGTCGTCCATTGTCCAGGCAAATCAAAATACTTAGTTCAAATGAGAGCTTGCCTGAAGCCTGACATGGACATCTCCACTCTATGCTCTAGCATCTTTCCTCAACGCCCAGCCACGTCGTTTCTACGTAGGCCGTAGCCATGTCCTTCTATGAACGTAGGAGGTAGGAGGTATGCATACGCGTCATAACCTACCCTCCCTCTCCAATTGATATTCATGCAGCTGTCGAAGTTCGAACTATGAGAACAACCCCTTACGGATGCTCTGTCTGGCGGGTAGTATTCATGCATATTGATGGCTTAGGTTCTATAAGCCCTATCTTTTCTCTTAGTCTTGACGTAATTGCATACGTCTCGTTATCATTATCAACAAGGTATGACAAGCGAGTTTCCTGGCACACTAGATTCATCACACATATTTTTGACATTTGATCCTATTAAAATCAATGACTCCCTTCATCATCGAAATTCTTCAATCAAGGAATCACATTGCTACTAGCACACCCAATAAATCTAGCTCGAAGAGAAGAATCCTGAAGCATTCGAGTGATGCGCGCCAAAGTATGTAGGCTGGATACAGGATGTTCGGCAGTAGCCAATAGGTATGCTGTCTCCGCAAGACGATTACAAAGGAATCCATTTCTGACAATGCGTAGCCGGAATTCAATCGCAACTTCAACTTCTTACTAGGCTCCAGGGTTGTGCTCGACTCAAAAAAAATTTGCCGACTCGACTCATCATTCAACTTCAGAAAGCCCTGACTCAACTCTGACTCAAACAAGGAGCTGATTTCTTCCCTTGACTCAACTCATGACTCAAGCAGCTCAATGAAAATATGAGTTGACTCAAACTTGACTCAAATTTTTTGTTGAGTCAAGTGAGTTGACTCAAAATTGACTTAGATAAAAAAGTTGTTGAGCGGGGGGGGGGGGGGTGAAAAAAATCCTGCAGCAGGGCCAGGCCTAAGTTGTTAAGCAGGGGGAGAATGAAAAGCTTATGTAGATTGTTTCTAGAAAGATGAGTCAGCTGACTCATGTTCCTAAATGTTTTTGACTCAACTCAATGTCAAAAGTTATTTTACTGACTCAACTCTGACTCAACTCAATGCTTTAATATTTTTGTCCGACTCAACTCTGTCTCAACTCAACAGCTCAACATTTTATCCGACTCGACTCAAATCTGACTCATTTGAGTCAGAGTTGAGTCAAATTTCTGACTCAACTCATGAGTCAAGCACAACCCTGCTAGGCTCACACAAAAATGTCAATAACGAACACAATTACTCCCACCGTTCCGTGCTTCTATCCTCAGGATACTGAAATCCTTCTCCTCCACGCCGCAACCCCTTCCGGGCTGGACAGACAACCTTATCTCATGCGGGCTGCTCCCTTGGAGCGGCACCGCTGCTCCCGAGGGAGCGCACCCCGTAGCCGGGTGCAGTGAGTGCCTTGGGGCTGGGTGGCCTGTCCTCTGGACGGGCTCAGCCCCGGCGACTCACTAGGGTGCCTGCCCAGACCAATGTCTCCTCCTAATTCCTATCATCCTTCCGGCTCTGAAATGGTCTAATTGGACCGAAAGGGCCTAACCCAACAAAACAAACAAAACAAACAAACACAATTACTGCGTTGAGAAGCAGTTCAGTGAAACGATCAAAGCGTTGCTTTTATGAACTGGTTCTTGAGACTGTTCATCAACAAATTGATTATCTACGCTAGAGATAAAATGTTAGAGACAAGGCTAACCCTTACCTGATTGATCGGGCTGCGTTCTGGTGCAGTCAGAGTCCGATTCCTGTGGCTCCTGGGTCCGCTCTCAGGGTATCCTGGGTCCGCTCTCCTCCCCACTGGGTCGGTCTGCGCCTTCCAGCCGCCTGTGACCCGCGGGTGGATGGTCCCGCTGGTGGGACGGTCCGCGGGACCACGTCGCTGGCTCTGAGCCCGCCGACACAGACGGTTGACTAGAGACACCATCACAGCCCGGCCGGCGGACGGGGCGTGCCGCCGGCCTATCACGTCCGTATCACGCGCCTCAGACGATCCCTGGGGGCGTCTGGGCGTCCGCACCACGGTGTCCCGTCCTCCTACTGCACCCCTGGCGGCGTCACACGTACTCGGAGCAGTAGAGCTGCGGCGGCGGCGGCGGCGGCCGGTCCGGAGAGGTGCGCTTGGGGGCGGGCCGCGGCCGCCGTCCCGGCAGCCGGGGCAGCGGTAGCCGCGGAGGCCGGCGCCGCTCGGGACTGGCCGGCTCCGAGCCCGAGCGGTTCCCGGAGTCCCCCGATCGCGGTCCGGAGTCGGCGTCCGGCGCCGCCTCGGCCGGCACGTCGTAGCTGCACGTCGGCTCGACGATGGCCGCGTGTAGGAGACGCGGGTCGTCGGGCGGCAGCGGCTGCAGCGGCGGCTCGGCCGGCCGCGTGGCCAGCGGCAGCCGCCGGCGCACGGCCGCCGGGGGCGCGGCGCCGGCGCGCGGTCGGCCCCGTCGACTGAGGCGCGTCGGCTCGCCGCCCGATGCGTCCGAGTAGTAGGCGCTGCTGGGGTCGGAGCCGGCCGACTCGCCGCCGGCCGGGCCGTCCACCAGGTAGCCGGCGTTCTCGTACGTGCCGTCGGGCATCAGCCGGCGCGGCTCACCGATCTCGCTGTACGTGTTGAGCAGGTAGGGCTGCTGGGCGGCCGCGCGGCTGGCGCCCACACTGTTCAGCTCGGCGTACACCACACTGTCCTGGTCGGGCATCGAGTACGGGCCGCCGCCGAAACCGTGCTCACCGGGCGCCGGCGGCCGCCGCTCGGAGCGCCGCCAGGGCATCGCCCAGCCGCCCGGCGCCGCCCCCGCCCCCGCCCCGGCCACCGCCGAGCCGTCGTCGGGCGGCTTGGAGGCGGGCGGCGGCGGCGGGCTCTCCTTGGCCTGGTCAGCAGAGTCCAGCGGGCACAGACCTGCCGAAACAGAGACGATTAGTGGCGCGCGGCGCTGCAGAGAGACGCTCGTGGGCGGCCGGGCTGCAGCCGCCGGGGAGGGAGGGGAGAGGAGCCCGCACCTTGGCCACGGAGTGCACAGTGCGGCGCGGCTGGCGATCATCGGACATTGATCAACGATCGGTGTCTGATCGGCCGGCCGCGCCGGGCAGGGAGGGAGCGGTCCGCGCCTCCCCGGCCGCACCAAACCAGTCCCTAATCATCCGGCCATTTTGTCTCCCGGAGTTAATCATCGTTTAATTAGGCGGCTGTATTCGTGGCCGGTTATCGGCCGGCGGACACGATATTTGGTCCGGCCGGGACCCGCTCCCGAGCCGGCACCGGCCGCAGCCGGCCGGTCCGGACGGGTTTCGGAGGGCCGAGCTGAGGTATTTACAGACTAGGACGGCCCGCACTGGGGATTGGTATGATTTAGATGGTCCAGTCTTCGATGATGATCGTTTTTAGGTCTTTTTTTCCATTGTGAACGACTTATTGGGCAGGGCGTGTCTATTTAAACGAATAAAAAGCTACTCAGGTTTCCGTTTCTGTTTCCAGAAACGTTAATCAAATGAATGAATCATTTTAGTATCAAGAAAAGGCGCAAAGAAGTAAATGAAACGCATATGACTAGTTAACACCTAGCATTTAACCGACGGCTCATTAAAAAAATGCATAAATACATAAGTCTCCCAGCAGTATCATCATCTATGCGTTCCACCGTGTGACCCCGCCGCATGCCTTCCCTCCCCCTATCTCCCCCGTGACAGGTCGTCAGGAGTGGCCCTCCGCACGGTATGCACCGGACAGAGGGCGGTCCGTGGCGCTCCCAGAGCGAGGCAATAAAGACGTCACCTGCGTTCGACCGACCGCCAGTGGCGTCAATTCGTCGCACCGGATTACCGAGACAGAGCTGAGACGGGGCCGAGACAGGACAGGGACGAGGCGGTGCAGCGGTGGGATAGGGCCGGTGGAGCCGAGGGTCATCGTATGGAGTCGAGTGGAGTCATCACATGATGTAGTCACTTCTTCCATGGACTGCGTGTTTCTGGCAACCAGCTTAGGTCCTTTCTGAGACAGTTACCTGTTACATGTCTTATCTGGGGATAGAGTCCCTTTTGATGAGGTGCTTCTCTAAATTTTCCGAAAAATAGGAGAGACCCTCTTGCAGGTCCCTCTTGCACACTTTTTAGGGTACCGCGGTCACGTTGGACGTCCCACGAGGACATTTAGGTCCCCAGACGTCCTCTGAGGTCAGCTCGGTCGTTCTGAGCGTCGTCTGACCTCGGCGGGGTCAGGGAGGCGCCGGCCGGAGCGCCTGAGTTACCGTCCGGCACACCCGTGTTTGTGTCGGTCGCCCGCCGAGAGTGGCGATTTCGGCCGGCTCAGTGGCCGCCAAAGACGGCGCCGAACGGCCAGCGAGAGGACGGTTAGAGGTAGACGGACGGACTGCAGAGAACAGACAGGATTGGATGGTTAGGAGAAGACAGTCGGTAGGGAACGCTCGGTATGGAAAGAAAAATACGGAACGGCTGGCAGGGAACGGTCAGAAGCGGACGGTCAGAAGGCAGGAGCGAACGATCAGAAGCGGACCGACGTTGCAGGCAACAGCCAGATGGGGACGGACAACAGTCGAAGGGCAGCGGAGAAAGAACGGCCAGCATGGAACGAACAACAGGAGTCGCCAACAAAGAGCGAACAGTCTCCAACCAGTGTCCCATGCCAGTGACATGGGTAAGGATACACGGAACAGCAGAGGAGCTAGGCATAGGCATCGATGGTAACTCACAGCCATGAACTCAAGGACGGAATGTATGACGAGGTGAGAGACGAAGGCATGGGAGACAGATACAGAACCAATTGGTGCAGAACAAAGACACGGGTGCAGTCACAGGGTGCGAGTATGTGATGCGAGGAATGCGGTCACAAGACGAGGTCAAACGGTCCAGCGCCGGCGCGGAGTGAAGCTCCATATGACAGTCCCGAGTCGTTTGCAGCAGCCAGCCTGCAGCGCTCGCCACTGAGCAGCTCCGAGTCTCCACTCAGTAGCTGTATGTCAGAGGTCCGGCTGGCGGAGGAGGGACCGGCCATGAGCCGCTGATGGACTGCCGGAGAGGGTCGGGACACTGTGTCCCCGGACAGCGGCCGTCCAGCGGTTTGCAGCGCCCGAGCCGCATTACCGGCCGCAGCTCTGGCTCCGCGCAGCGGGCCGTCCGCCCGACGAGCCGCCCGCTCGAATTAGCATAAAAATGGCCGAATCGACACTAAATCAGAGTATTTATGAGCCGACTGGGATAAGCCGGCCGGCGCGGCGCGACACCCAATTTAGCTGCCGCTCGTTTTCAGCTGACGAATGCGAGCAGCTCCGGTGCTGGTGAGCTGCACTCGGTACAGACGCCGCCTGGCCGGCCCCAGGGGGGTGGGGGCGGCGGCGGCGGTGGAAGACACTTCGGCACGCCAGCGGGCGCCGGTGCAGGGGTGAGCGTCCCACACACCTGGTCAGAACAGGTCCGCTCACTGTTACCGCATACTGACCGACAGAAGATACTGACAAAGTAAGGGACTAACGGCGTAGATTGGCGGAGGTTTTTTTTTTTTTTGGACGGCACATCGAGGTCTTTGGACCATCTACATATGTAGAGAACCCGGGCCGGCCACCCTCTGTCACGCCTGGTCACGAGTCATCAAATGACCTCGCGGTCCAAAAAAATGTTCCAGTAGCATCCGGGCTAACCCTGCAGGACCGCTGCTGTAATTGTGGGAGTCTATATCCTGTTTGTAAACTGGGAAGCGTCTGATTATATCACTCCAACTGTTTCAGGATGGGTAGGTTTCAACACCCACATGGAACTGGGTATCAACACCCAACCGCCCCGATCGTTTAATGAATTAAATTGCCGACTGTAACCGCTACTGGCGCCGAGGGTATGTGCTTCCAGCACAGTCCCTCGTCCCTACCCGACCTCACTGAGCTACGACAGTGGCTGGTTTGATGGGCCACCCGCGGGTCGTCAGGTCTGTCGGTGAAATCGCAGAGGCCAGTGAAGGAATGCGAGCTATACAGTTACAAATTACTACAACGGTCAGGTATTCCATTGCCTTAAAAGACTTTGCAATACCAGCATTGAATTACAGACTGCATTCATTAGGTGAAATGACAATGCAAAATCGATTCCAATCGAAGAAAAAGCTGGTTAACTATGCATGGAGTTACACATGTAGGCTTTGTTCATTCATTAGGCACCACAAAATATCTGCAGTGAAGACGGTCCTTTGTTGAAATACGCTTACCTTTTGATGGAAGTACCCGCCATCTGGAACAGAGGATCGGTCAAAATATATCATCAGTGTGGACGTGCAAAATACCGCAGCCAACATGTAGACGGGACATCGGATTGTCCTACTGCCAGCCGGTTATTTACGGTCAGCCTTGAAATCATTTAATTTGCCGGACACCCTGTCGCCATTCGGCAGCTCCGGCTCCGGCTGATTCAGACCTCTAATCCTACTCAGCGGAGGAGGCAGCATTTGGGAATTCGCGGTAAGCTGCGGTAGTGGTGTATTGTTGTTTCCCGGCAAGGCCAGGCCGCTGACGTTTGTCTGTGGTGTGTGTGAGACGCCACCCCACCCACAGGAAAGGGAGCCCTCGTCAAAGCTGGCCGAGAGCTGAGGAGCGATCACCGGCGGCGTAAAAATGGCCGGCCACCAGCCGGACACCGCGGTCATCGGCGCATTCCGAGGGGTGCCGAGAGCTGACGGCAGCTCACAGCGGGCTTTGTTCGATGCTGAAGGGGCCACCTTCAGATGATGCTGGTGTGGGTGTCAATCGGAACTCGAATTCAAAAATGAATCCATCAATTTTTCTTTATATGTAGAGTCCGGTTTGTCCGCTCTGCAAAAATTGGGGCGAGTGGAAATTATATCCACTAATTTCCATGATGTGAATTTTTGGCTCCTTTGGCAAAAGCAGCTAGCAATGAGTAATGAGGTGCTGTGCTCTTTCAAAAGGGTATCATCAAGGTCTAAATCGTCTGCAGCTATCCAGTAGTCTGGCAGGTCATGCAGGTGTAGCCAGATGGCCTAACTCTGCCCATCATATTGAGCAGACGTATCACTTTGAACACCGGTGAGCCGAGTTCTCCAACCGTTTTCAGTTGTAAATTTCCAATATCGGCCATCTAACAGCGCTGAGCCATGCTGTCAGCGGTGTAGAACAGGCCAAGCAGCTCAGCAACTCCTGTCACCAGCAGGGACTGGAAGCGTTGATGCATCCGATTCTGTCGCTTCTGTCAATCGGGAATACAGCTGAACCAGGAACCCTGGGAATTTGTTGCAGTGGTGAGGGAAGGCTATCCCGAGCACCTCCTCCTACCCAGCATCGTCAACAAGCTCAGCCCTGATTCAACTCAGATTAGCTCTCATATTCGACTCAGATTCGGTCCAGCGGTGCCCCAGACTCGGCCCCGACTCGACCCCACATTGCATTCCCTCCCCCAGCTGCTCGCTCGGCCTGTGTGGCCGTCTCTCTGATAGGCCCGCCCCGCCGGTTCCTGTGATGTATCGGGCTGTAGCTGCAGCCCGCCGTGACGACGCTAAAGTGTGGTTACATGTTTGGGAGGTCGAGCGGTGCCCGGTGTGTCTTCGATTTGCCTGGTGTGGTGCCGGCACTGTACCAAAGGCTGCGTTTGGGCAGTATGGGACACATGTCGGGTAGAATCTATGCGAAGCTGCCTCCTTCTACCGCAATACTTAAATATGGTTTCATTCATGTTTTTGCAAGCTTGAAGCAGTTTGATTCGTCTAGGAATAGTCCCAGCACATTCAATGGTCGTTAATGATGTTTTGCAGTGAGCATTGCCATGACTTTAGTTTGGAAAGTGAGGTTTAAAATGAGACTCAAACATGGGATTGGATATAACTAAAATGGTGTACGAAATGAATAATTATAGCACTATCAAAGGTGAGCGGAACAAACTAGCAGAAATATGTCATCCTATTCAAAAAACGAGCCTATCAGCTCAGCAGATCCCGTAACATGAAAGCTAGTGTTGACCTTACATCATAAGTTTACAAGCTTATCTGACCGGCTGACCCCGAACCTAGCTTCTGACGTGACTATCACTGGTCATCTAACCTCTACCCCTGGATCCTGACCTCTCGACCATCTCCAGGTCTGGCCCTTGCCGTCACCCGGCGACCCCTGACCCCGCCCTGACCTTTGACCTCACCTGCGACACCGGATGAGCACTACCATGACCACGGCGCCGACTAGAGCCGAGAGGAGCGCCACGGCCACCAGCACGGGGATCCACGAGGACGAGCCGCCGGCCGCCTCCTCTGAGGGACAGAGGGGGAAACGCGATGTCAGTGGACTGGGGCATACAGCTGGATGATACAGTCAGTGGGCTGGAGCATACAGTCAGGGGGCTGGAGGATGTCAGCAGGCGACCCAGCTCTGCCGCTGCCGCTATTCCTTCATGCTGAAAGCAGGCTATGCTTTCCATCCCCCACTGTCCGGCCAGTGCTGTCCAACTCCACTTGCTGCTGCTCTCTGCTTGCTGTCCGCTATTGTCTCCCGCTGTCCGCTGCCGCCGCTGTCCGCTGCATCCACTAATGAGCGGGACTCCAAAGACGAACACTGGCCCGCGCCCCCGGAAAAACTGACGCTAATTGTGTCCGACTTCCGATGCCGACCGCGATTGGCGGCGAGCGGCGACAGTGACTGATGCCGGCCTCTGACCGAGCGGCAGAAGAACAGGCTCCCCGAGCGCCGGGTCGGGCCACTGCGCGCCGCTCCGCTCCGGAATACCGGGCGGTTGCACGTGTTTACCTTGAGCGGGAGCGTTCACCCCGTCCGCGTTCCCGGTTCCCCCGAAATAAACACGTTCTTTCATGCAGGGTAGGGTCTGAGCGAGACAGCGGTCGATTTATATGGTTCAGCTCGGTAGTTCATCTACATACGTTCTGAGTTGTGTTGCGGACCTCATTTGCCAACTGCGAGCTTACCGATGTCCGTTTGATCTCAACTGTCCTGGATGAAAATACTCAGTTGCAGGTTTAGTCTCCGCAAAATTCAGTAAGTTTATACAGAATACTTGAAACGATCAAAGTTATATCTTACAGTATTAACTCCAAGATAAGCCGTTTTTGGATAGAAACCATTGAAATTGATGACACACATTATTTGACCAATCTGATACGTTAAGATTCCACTATTCATCCGTGACAACCCATTCGCTGCCTTTTCTGGCGGGCAGATCTCTTGGATGACTTCCAGGGAGCGCGATATCTGATAGTGTCGAAAATTCAAATGTGTGCCTGTCTGAGCAGTGAGCGCTGTCGTTCGGCGGCCCTACCGGCTGGTCCGACCCCTGCCGGCGGGTCAGATCGGGCCGCTGCCTGGGTGGCCACCGGGGTAGACCGGACACGTTTCACGTCAGGTGTGTGTCCCCTCTGCGCCCCTGTGGAGGGGACGGGCGGCTGAGGTCACTGCCGGCTCGGTCACAGCTGTCTCCACCGGTGAGACGGTCCGCCACGTGCACTGACTTCACACCGCTCTCAGGGCGCGCCGGCCGTGAAACGGATGACCCCGGCGGCGGCCGGTGTCGAGAGCCATGGCTCTCCAGGGACGGCACGACTCCGGACCGGCTACTGTCGCCAGACAATGGACTCACCGCTCCCCAAACGGGACAGACGACCGGGACAGACACGTGCCAGTTCAGACGCCGCGTGCATAACGGTTTAACGACCGGGTACGTAACTCAAACGGCTGCCTATTCCCCCAGCGCATGATAACAATCCTCATCATGCATGCAGCTGGGCTATGGATACCTGCATATTGCATTGTTTGATCATAACGACAGCGCTGTCACGGCTTATACCCGGTCTGATAAATCTCGCTTATCTGCAACACCTGGGGTTTCGCTACTGGCGAATTAACTCACGTGTCTGAGGTACTATTTTAGCATTGCATTTTTAAGTCCGATCTTCGTTGCTGTGAGATTCGCAGCATGGTCAGTCACTACTTCATGGTGGGACTTATACACTCTACCAGTGCATTTGGGACTCACTCACTTTCCTCACTCACTTTATTTACCTGTGACTTGTGAGCACAAAGTAGGCGTATATTGCGTGAGGATACTGTAAGGCTGAAAATGTGTTTTGTACCCCCGCGGCACCTTCCTTGCCTCACGGTGCCCTCTGTACCCTCCACAGTACCCACCCTCTGTAGTACCCCGCGGTACCCTCCATACCTCGGGGTACCCTTCTGTACCGTGAGGTACAGGTCTCGCGAGATTAAGCGGTAGGTTTTGCACTTTTACATTTCCGGTTATATCTCAGAAACTAATCGATCTACGATGAAGCCATTTTACACGATCATGGCCGGCTTGTTACCCAACAAGTCGAACGCATCTTCAACACTTAAAAGCTTAAGACGACGAAGATATAGCCTGAAGTACACTAAATTTTCTAGGTGCAAAACCTACCGCTAAAACCCGCGAGACCTGTACCCCGCCGGGTGGTGACCGTCCCGCACCAGTGCAGTGTGAGTGTGATTAATAGTGCCGCACTGTCGGCTGTCCGGTGATCGGTGAGACTCTCCGGCACCGGCACGGAGCTGCCGTCGGCTTCTCATGCACAGCACGGAACACTTCGACTGATAGAGGCGAGAGGGAGAGGGGACCACGATAGGAGACTCGGCGATGGCGATGGCGAGAGAAAGGGTTTTGAGAGAAGGCGTGAGGCGTGCTGGCTGGTCGTAGCGGACTGGAGAGCTTGAGTAAAAGGTGGGTCTAAGCACACCCGAAATGAAATTTCAGTTTCAATGTATAATTAGTGGTATTGGCGCTCTTTGTCAAGTGATGCGGGAAATGATCAGTCTTGTCGGCTGCCCACATAGCCATCACACTCCGCTAAGAATGAATGAACCCTATTATCTCACAAATGGCATTTGTTCACGGCTGAGGGACCAACGGTGACGCCCTGTCGTCGCCGCGATGGAAGATCAGGTCAAAATAGGAGCTTGGTATCACAGCTGTCGCGACATACGAGCGGCGAATCGCACAGTCCAACCAGCCGCCCAACGACCGTACAAATATGCCGTTCGTCATTAGAAGATGCGACATGTCACGAACGGGGCCCTTCAAAAACCGCTGCCGGTGCACCTAATGCGTCAGCGACACCAGATATGCCGTCCGTTCACAGACCTGTCAGATCGGCAGATTACCACCATCAACTACACACTTAGCCGTCCCTAAAAATGTAATAGAGGACCATCAAAAATGTCTGCGCCCATGTGTGAGACGGGAGCGCCATTTGCGCCGGCGGCGCTGGTGGCCGGACTCTGGTAACGATTAGCCGATATTATCGGTACGGGGCGCGGACGCTGAACAGTCGCTGACGAGAGCTGCGGTCAGCACGATAAGACTCATAGATCGCCCACCCACAGAGTGCTGCAAAATGTCTCCTGTTCCTAATGAGACAAGGTCACACCAGACCGCTACTGACGAGGATTGATTGGAACGGCATATGCTGGCAGCTTATCACAGCTCAGACTTCATCGAAAGGCTGAAACTCTTGATCAAGCAAGTTTCTGTCCGATTCTGTCATGAATTTGGCCGCGGTTGACACCGATATTTTTTAAAAATTAAGTGGGTATCAGGTATGCAATGGTTGTTTTAGCCACGGCCTTATTCAGGACAATAGGTGATGTCTTGGGTTTTACTAAGGCATGCCGATCTGCTCGTTTCAGGGATCGTCAGTCAGGTTCATTAGTGCATAGTTGATATAACATAGTTTATATGCATTTCTTTTAGACCATTGACATTCCACAGTGCAGAATGTTAACATCAGCTATTATTTTTTACAGCATCTGTGACTAACGACCCAGTCATGTCTGGTAGACGGGAATAGCAATGTTAAAATCTTCTAATCCTCGCTAACATTAACAATAAATAATATTTGTACAAAATACGGAAATATAGATTTAAGACCGTCCGAACGCGACTGTAGTGCTAGGCACTCTAAGTCAGACATCTCCAGTCATTTATTCTTCCTCTTCTTGAGCAGCTTCACGTATCACGGTCCGTACATCTGTCCTGCGATGAGGAGCATCAGCCACTGTCACCCAGTCGGCTGAGGTGTCATGATGTGATGGTGGAACGATGTCGGAAATACATGTCACTGCCCTTGCGCCATGGATTCCTGACCCCTGTGCCGGTGATAGACCGCGGCTCTGCAAGCCGGCCTACGGTATGCGGGGGCGTTACGACTGTTTGGGCGGGCCGGCACGGTGGATTTCTGCTCAATAGCGCCTGCCGTGTCGGAAGGAATGCCGCCGGTGCCGCCCCTTGTCGTGCAGACCGTCGCCGGTCCGTGGTTGAACCGACTCCGTCCAGCGCCAGAAGTGAGGCTGATGGGCTGATGGTGTAGGGGTAGCGGCTGATGTCGGTACCCAAGACTGAGATGATTAGGGCAAAGCGAGGCATTCTTCGAGAGAGAGAGAGAGAGAGAGAGAGAGAGAGAGAGAGAGAGAGAGAGAGAGAGAGAGAGAGAGAGAGAGAGAGAGAGAGAGAGATAGAGAGAGAGAGAGAGAGAGAGAGAGAGAGAGAGAGAGAGAGAGAGAGAGAGAGAGAGAGAGAGAGAGAGAGAGAGAGACCGACCACCTGCGGTCTCTCCGCGATGATCACATCGGAATGTCCTCAGTGAGCAGCACCTGGACAAGCTCTGTTGAGCCTCGTCTCAGACAACCCGCGGCCGACTTTACCCATGTGACTCACGGCATTATCCCTGTAACATCCTCTGTTGGTCACTAACTGGATGTAACAGCCCAACAGGTGCCAGGCGGCGCCGCAACTCCTCCGGAAACTGACGGCGCCCCAGGCCGGTACGCACGAGTAAACGGCGGCCCAAACCGACCATCCTGCGGTCACCTCAAACAAAGGCGTGATGAATCCGCGCTCACTCAGAGCAAGCGAAAGTGGCGGAGGACATGCAACACCGTGTGCAGGCCGATGCCAAATTTTCAGACAATAACCGTCTAGTTAGAAGAGTGAGGAGGCGCCGACATGCAAGACGATCGGTATAATTAGCACTCAATCCATGCTAAACTGCAGCGTCGTGCAACAAATCATCGAAGCAGCAGACGTGTATCTGTTGGAGAGAGCCGCTGGCCCCTCTGCTGAGGAGTGGCCCGGCTGGGTCCCCGTCCGGCCCCGCCCCCGCCCCCACCTTCCCCCGGAGCCCGGCGTCGCCCGGCTCTCAGCGGCGGATGTGGGGGAGAAGCAGCGGTGCAGTGCCGCGCCGAGATGTGGTTCAACTCTTGCAGACAGTGCTGC